CACACACACTCACACACACTCATACACACACACTCACACACACACACATACACACACACACACTCACACACACTCATACACACACACTCACACACACACACATACACACACACACACTCACACACACTCATACACACACACTCACACACACACACATACACACACACACACTCACACACACTCATACACACACACACACACACACACACACACACACTCACACACCACAATGCCATAATCCCAAGGCTGGAAAGGCGGAAACAGGAGGATTCCTGAAGCTCTCTGTTTAATCAGCAAGTTCTAGGTTCATTGACAGATCAAAAATGAATTCGGAGAGCAACTGAGTATTAGAGGAAGGTAAAAGCCAATTAAGGTCAAGAAAACAAAATATCTGGTCTTCATGGAAACCTAATATTCTAGTTGGGCAGGGTCAATGACCTGGCTAAGGGACCATCCCTCAGAGAGGAAGGATCACTCCTAGGAAGGCAGACTCTCTTTAAGCCATTCTAAAAGAGGTAGGCAGAATAACTATTTCTTTAATAAGATATAGTACTTTCACTTTCCAGTATTCCTGCCCAATAAATACATTCCCTACAAGACAAATTGCCATGATGTTCAGGTGGGTCTGCCCACAAGAACTCAGAAAGGTGCAACTTTTCCGTTTTACATCTTTCTTTCAGATGCTGACCAGGACCTAAGTATGCTTTTTGTGATGATACTTTGGGCTTCCTTTCTCTTCCTCTAAAGCCTCACCCTACCCCATAACATGTGGCCACCTGCCACCATGTGGCTAAACTCCATGTCATCTTAACGGCAATGGCATGGCTTTTTCCCCTTCTCTCCTCCACTCTCCTCCTCTCTGGGAAGCTGCTGAGACTTACCACTGGCCAGCCCTTGGATGCTGTTCTTTTAAACTCTAATAAATTTTCTTTGAACTGCCTTTTGAATCAATTTTTAAATTACTTTATTAGTGAGACTAAGAGCCCCAAGACAGGTATCCAGTTTCTCTTTTATCATCTGGAAACCATGAGGAGTTTCCCTAAAATTCCAGTAACATAAGAAAGATAGCCAGTGTCACCTTTTGGACTCCAGAAAGACATACAAACACATAAGAACATACATAGATACTAGAATTCAAGTGAGTTACTAACAATAATGTAAAAGATAAGCAGAATTCATTACAGAATAGAGTAGACACTCTCAAGCAGGGACTATTATCCAAAGGGGCAATTACAGAGGAAAGACTAGACAATGGTGAGAAAATAATTGTGTAGAGTAAATCTTGAAGTATAAAGTGAACAGTGACCGAGACCACTCTATTTGTTCAAGTAGATTAGAAGCTATTATTATTCTAAAATCTGGATAACAGCTTCTTTGAGGGGTATTTTCCTGTCCAGATTACTGACAAGCCCATTCTTTTGATCAGTAATCATGTACCAGAAGACTTTAAACGTAATTTAAGAAAGAACAAACAAATCTATTGTTGTCTAATTCATAGCCAGTCTTTTACACACTGCTTTAACTATTAGGGACGGCAACTGTAGTGCTTCCATTTGGCATTATAAAATTCCAAGCAGGGCAATCATACTATTTTGCCCTTCTTATTGTGGGATATTTTGATCACCCTCTGATACTCCAGAGACTGGCAATAAAGTTTACTTTGAATGAAAGGACAGAGTTAGCTACTGGCTGACCAAAATTAGCCATAGAAGTTTTGGAGGACTATGGACATATAGATAGAAACAGGAAGTAGTAGGGTGGGGTTCAGAAAGATTATCTACCCTTTTGGACTGAGGAAGGAGAGAGAAGAGGTCACTGGTGGATTCACCACAACTTCTCAGATAATGCAGGTTCGTACCCCAATATCTGACTCCTAAGTTTTTATTGATAAAGAATAATTAGATAAGTGCTTCATCTTCTACCTATAACTGTTTTTTACTTGCAATTAATATGTTTTACATTGACTCAAGAACTAGTTACTGGGGCTTATTTTCAAGGAAAAGATTGAATAGGACTCTCCTTTACAGATCTGCCAGGAGAGAGGTCAATGAACATATCCAAGGACAAAAACTCTGCCAAGCACAGTAATCTTCCATTCATCAGCCCATGAAAGTCCTAAGACCTTTCTCTTTTACAAAATGGCAAAGAGTTTTTGTGGTTTTTTGAATGAGAATGGCCCACATGGGCTCATATACTTGAATAGTTGGCCCTAGTGGGTCAATTATTAGGAGGTGTGACCATGCTGAAGGAGGTATGTCACTGGGATAGGTTTTGAAGTTTCAGAAGATTCATACCATTATTGGGGTCTTTCTCTGCCTCATGACTGGAGACCAAGATGTAAGCTCCCAGCTGTTCCTTCACTCTACCATCATGGACTCTAACCCTCTGAAACCATAAGCCAAACAAAACACTTTCTCCTGTAATTTGCTTTGGTCATGGCATTTTGTCACAGCAATAAAAAACATAATTAAAAGAGAAGTTGGTACCAGAAATGGGATCATTCCTGTAACAGGTCTGACCATACTGGTTTTTTGTTTGCTTGATTTTTGGCTTTTTTGAGATTTTTGTTTTTGTTGTGTTTTGATTTCTGAGGATTTCGGTAGAATGCTGTTAAGTACAGCTTTATTGGCCATCCTAGTAGGAGCTTAGAAAAAAGTAGTGCTGAGATCAATTCAGACTATGGAGGCCCAACTCAATATGTTTCAGAGGGTAAAAAAATAAACAAATAGACTGGGGACCATGCTTGTGATATTTTGGCCAAAAAAAAAAAATGTAGTGTAATGATAGCTTTTTCCACCAGCTGCATGAGTTCTGATGTCATGTTAGTGCCCCCCAAATAGCACACAGAGTCTTATATAAGTTACAATGCTGCTGGCCAATGACTAGGATTTCTTATTTGCTAGCTCTGTCTTAAGTATCAACCATAACCATTAACCTATATAGTTTATAAAAACTTATCTTATCAAGGATGCCAGTGGCATGTGTCCTCTCTTCCCCAGGATCATATGGCGACTTCTTACTACATTTCCCAGAATCCTCCTTGACTCCTAGTCCCACCTATCTTGCTTCCCTATTAACTAACAGTGTTTTATATATCAACCAATAAGACAGACAAATACATAGAAGGACCTCTCCCATCAATGTGGCTACTATTTGTTCTTGTCCTAAGAATCTGCCCAAGGCAAAATTGAAGAGTTTTGAGTTAATTTCATTCTTTCAGGATGACTGTGTCATATAGATATTCGTGATCACTTTTATGCAGGTCTATAATTTTAAAAAAGAAGAAAAATTAAATAAAATACAGAATGAACAATTTGAGTAACAAAAGTTCACCAGGAAATCTAATGTTGAAGCCAAGGCTTTTGCTAAAAGAGTAAGGGAGGAGCCTGATTCAAAATGGAATAAAGGGAGTGGTACCCTCAGGGAAAGACCCTATCTACCTACTCCTGTAACTTATGAAAGGAATAAGCCCAAGGGATATTTTTTTTCATGTAGAAAGCTACTACAAGGGAAATCTTACCTTATACAAATGTAATTCAACGAGGAAGCCAGACTTCATCCCAAGTGGGCATCAGTACTTGACAGCTTCAGTCACATGGTTCTATCCTTAGAGTCATGATACAGAGTAAAGGGTTGTGGGATTTTCCTCTGTGGCTAAGGAAAGATACTGATCCCAGGCTTGTGACAGGGCAGTCCCTGCATGGAGACCCAGAGAAGCCATTACATGAAGCTGTAAAAATAAAGCCCAGATTTGCTGGAGACCCCAAGATATTGGATATGTCAGAGTCATGAAACATCTGCCAGAGAGAGCTACAGACAGGAAGTGGAGCCAGTTCAAAAGAGAATAGTATGTTACAGGCAGAAAATCTGAAAAGAAGAACCATCTAAGCCAGTGGTTCCTAATGCTGTCATCTTTAATACCTCATGCTGTGGTGACCATGAAGTTATTTTGTTGCTACTGCATAACTGTAATTTTGTTACTGTTATGAATTGTTAATTTAAATACCTGATATTCAGGATATCTGACATGCAATTTGTTAATCCCACCAGAATAAGAACATTACCACAGTTTAAAGCCAAATTTGAAGTAAGCTTTAATTAAATACTGCCCAGGTGTATGGCCTCTGGCCAGGTCCATACCCAGGTTCCCAGGAAATGGCCTGGAGTCACGTTTTGCAGGGGCTTACAAAGGCAAAATCCATAATTCACTATATTTCCCACAAGGTCTAATCATGGGCAAGCACACATCCTGACATACTTCCTGCCTTCATACCTCCTGTCTATATCCAATCAGGGGCAAGGGTGTATCCTGACATACTTCCTGCCCATGTACATCAAGCAAATCCAGTGCAGGTAGGACAAACAAACACATTTAGGGGAGTGAGCTTGTTATCTCCTATAGACAATAGCCTCCAGTACTTCAAGAACTATCTGTCCTGAGGTAAGGGGCTTGAAGATTACAGGCATTTTCGTTTCATGGATATCTTAATTATAGAAATTAAAACTTAAAATGTAACTTTGGCTCTCACAAACTCCCAATGGGGTCACCACCCACAGGTTAAGAACTGATGATCTAAGGCTTCCAACACTAGACATGGAGCTGCAGAATTTGGATTTTGCCTGTTGTTTCAGTCTCACTTTGGTCCAGTTTTTCCTCACTATGCCCCCTCCCCATTCCTCTCTTTGGGGATGGTAATGCATATCCTGTGACACTGTATATTTAAAGAATATAATTTAGTTTTTTTGTTTTATAGGGGACTTACAACTAAGAGATTGTCTTGAATCTCAGAAGAGACTTTGGACTTTTAAACTGCTTTGAGATTGTGAAAGACTATGGGGACTTTTGAAGTTGCACTAAACGTATTTTGCATTGTGATATGGCCATGAGGCCATGAGGCCATGAGGCCCACCCAGCCAGTGGAACGTGGTAGTTTGAATGAGATTGGCCACCATAGGCTCATATATTTGAATATCTGAGTCTCAGTTGATGAAACTGTTAAGAAAGGATTAAAAGGTTTGGCCTTGTTGGAGGAGGTATGTTCATGCTGGTGAGTTTTGAGGTTTCAAAAGACTCATACAATTCCCAGTTAGCTTTTCCCATCTTGTGGTTATGGATCAAAATATGAATTTTTCGGTCTTTCTTCACTCTGACTTCATGACTCTAACCCTCTGGAACCATAAGCCAAATTGTTTTCTTTTGTAAGTTGCCTAGATCATGTTTTTAATTACGACAATAGAAAAGTAACTAAGAGAGTTTGCTTTGAGATGGACAGTCTTACCGCATTTTCCAGCTCTAGATTTAAATAAAAGATATTCCTCCTCCAATCTCTTTCTAACTACAGACTTGGGCACTACAAAAAACACAAGCCAGGACCTCTGAGGAGAGCCAGTGGCTGTGCATAAGAGGCATTCATAACTATTTAGTGAAAGCCATTAGTATATCATTACCATGACCTAGGACACAACCTTTAAATCTTCTACTCTGGGGGAGATAAACAGCACAGATGTGCACGCGGCACTCACTCAACGCCCCCTGTTATTATTCTTTTCCTTGAATTAGAAATTCGAGACATGGACATGGAGTATAGAGAGCACATTAACCAGTTTATTATAGGGTGGAAGAATGAGAGGGGGAGAGAGAGAAATGGAAGCACAGAGCAAGGCAGAGAGTAAGAGAGAAGAGAGAGAGAGGTCAACCGCTGGAAAGAGACAAGAGAATAATCCTGCAGGTTTAAGGGGGGGGGCTCCCGCATGGGCACTGAGTCCCTACGCAGCTTCATGATGAGTAACGTAGCCATGGCATGGCTACGCAACAGAGGGCTCTTTAAGCTGTGTAGGTATCTACCTGAACCTTTCACCACCTTCTCTAAACCACTACCCATGAACCAAATTACTACTGATGTTTACTTAATGAAATAATTTACCTTAAGGTAGAATTGATTGTACCCATTCATGAGTCAATTGGGTTGGGGTTTGTTCTTATTTGTTGGCAGCTAGGAATAAAGTCCAGGACCCTGCATATGCAGGCACCTGAGCTCAGTCTCTAGCCACTGGCTCTTTGGGACAGAACCACAATACATAGCCCAGGCTGGACCCAACCTCATGGCCTTCCCACTTCAGCTCTCTCAGGGCTGGTTCTCTAAATGTTTGCTGCTATGCCAGATGAGGATTCTTGATTTTAAACAAATGTCTGTTCCCAAATGCTTTACCTGTTGGAAAGTCTTATCAGCTGTGGCCAAACCAAGTGTTTTCTTGTTGTTGAGTGAGATTTTTCTCTGTGAAACACTCTTCTCTACATGTGATCATTAACACCAGACCAAGGAAAGTTCATGAGCTCAGGTTAGCTGAGGACTTCTGATTCAGATTCCAATAAAAAGCGGGTGTTTTCCTACATAACTCTGATAATACTTGAAACTTAAAAATTATCCCGATAATTTCTGTCTTGCCATCAAGATTTTGTCTCTCTGAGGGTAGACATGACTTTATCCCCAGGGCTTGTACTACTCCACATCATGCATGTATCATATGTATGACTGAGTAAATGCAGGGGAATTGGAGGATTCCTGGGCATAATTCCTTTCAACAGACAGCATTAGCTTTCTGCACAGTCCCCTGAAAGAGTAAATGAGGCAAGAGAGATGCTAAATGCTCTGAATTCAGTTAGTGACTCTTGGTGACCATTTCCTGCTGCCCTGTCTTTTATACATTTCATAGTATTTCCTAAAGCCCTTGGCACTTCATGACTGCCCACGACAAACACAGTCTTAGAAATTCCTACACTCAAATGTTTTCAAATGTATTTAAAATGTTTGTGTTTGTGTGTGCACAAACGTGTGTGTGTGTGTGTGTGTGTGTGTGTGTGTGTGTGTGTGTGTGTGTGTGTGATTTAGGAACTCTGGCCTACTCTAATTCCAAAGAGAAGCCTTTTTAAATGTTACAGTCTAAGAGGAACTGAAAATGATGTCATTCCCTAATGACCTCATCCATGATGAAATTGTGACATGGGTTATGACAATGAAAACATGACTGGGAGAACTTCCAACTCCATCTGGCAAGGGCCAAGTCTTTTTTTTTTTTTTTAAAGTGATCACTCAGGTTCTGAATGAGATGTTAAACCAATGGGAAAGTAAACACAAATGATTACTATAGGCCCAAAGTAAGAGAGATTTCAGTCTTTTGTAACTTTGTTATGAAAGTTTCCATATATGAATATCCTGAGCACATAGTACCTTGATACTTCTGTATTATGTTTCAAGAGACGTTATTTTTGGTAATTTAAACATGTTGAATACTAAAACCTAAGTAAAATACATTTATTGAAGGTTTAAAAATATTTTTTGCTAAAGGACAAAATTAGGTTTCCACTGGGAAAGGTGGGCAATGACCAAATAAGCCAGATGAATGGGTGGGAGGGGGGCGGTTGCTAAAAAGTTGGAATTCTTATGTTTTCAGATTATCATTTTGACACAGATTCATTAAAACTGTTCTGTACAATTTTCTCAGTCAAAATCATTGTATCAAAATTCATTTAAGAGTCTGTGGAAATGGGTCAGTGGGTAAAGTACTTGCTGCAGAAGGAGCAACTGAGCTCAGATCCCCAGCACCCACATTAAAAGCCAGATCTGGTGAAGCTTGCATAAGATCCCAGCACAGGGCAGGTAGAGACAGGAGGATCCCTGTGGTGTACTGACCAGTCAGTGTAGCCACTCAGTGAGCTCCAGGTCCAGTGAGAGCCTCTGTCACAAAAAAAAAAAAAAAGAAAGAAAAGAAAAAATGTGAAGAGAGATTGAGGAAGACCCTTGATGCCGCCTTTTCCCTCCATATACAAGCACACAGACATGCAGGTCCACCGGTGTATATGTATGCACACACATGAACACGGACATGCACATGTATAAATGCATTTCACAAGTGGCTGCAGAGTTTCCTATAACTTGTATTATATAGCCATCATTCATCAACAAACATAACCAATAAACTAACACACTTTGAGAAATTTCTCAGGGCTACTCTGTCTACTTTGCTTATTTGTTTTTGCACACATGGATACCCACTCTGTTTTCTGACATATTACACTTCTCTCTTTGATATTACTCTTGTCTCTTATCTAGTGCTATGAATTGAATTGTGTACCCAACAAATTCATGTTGAAATGCTAGGCCTGCATGACTTACGGGGCCTAGCATATAGCCTACAGGACACGGGTTTTGAGGTTCTAGTGAGGAAAAATAAAAATACTAGTTTACTAGGGATTTGGGGAGCCCGATGTAGGGTGCCATATGTTACCAGGAAAATCGGGGTCTCCTCTTTTGGATTTTAGTCCCATTGTTAACAGAATTTAAAAACAACCTACTAGGAAACTCAAGAACAATTTTACTCAGTAACCTGAGGCTTTCTTGAGACTGTCTCAACCATGCTCAAAATCTGTCCTCTTCATGTATGCCATACTGCTCCGCCTGAGCCACAAAGCAGGGACTGACAAGAAATCCACTTTTTCTGTGTTTCCTTAGGACTTACATCTGGGGAGAGTGAGCACGCGTTTAGCATGGCGATACACTTTCCATACAGCAACCACACGTTGCTTCTTCACTTCAACAGTTTGAACATGGCTAAGTTGTTGGTGAAATCAGATCACAATTTTCATCTCACACATATTGAGTTCACTTTGGTGGCCACAGAAACCATTCAGTACACAGGTGAGTACTCACAGACTGACTGCAGGACTTCATTTGGGGGGCCTGAGCACCCCTTTTCTCCCCTAACACTGACAAAACTGTCTTCATCCAAGGGCAGAGGTGGGGGGAGACAACAAAGCCAAGACTGGGTCCTTCATGGATCCAGTGTGACTGAGCCCTTCAGCTTTTATTTTCTTAGTCATTTGCAGAATATGAGACTTCTATATTCAGAAAAAAAAATCCCAGACATTTACACAGGCTGACAGCATCCTACAAGATTCTAAAACTGGTTACTACTTTATTCCATGCATATTTTTCTTTCTCTTTTGGATATTATCCCTAATCATATCAGTCTGTATCTCTTTCTAGAGTCTTTCATATAATACTTCAGCAGAAACTGTCTTTAACTTTATAACAGATTATTTCATGAAGTTGTCTAGATAGCAGAGACCACCTAAAAATAAATGATAATTCACATACTGTGAAAGACATATCTATGATTGAAAAAGTTTCTGGTTTACAGCTATGGTTGGACCACCTTACAGGTTCCTAGTCAAAGTACCAAATTTTAGCTTTAATATTTGAAGTAAAATTTCAAATAGACTTTTCCATTTTACAATAAGTAGGAATTAGTTTGGGTTAATTTTAGCTGTGAAGCTTTTATAAATATTAGTATTCAGTCTTAGAGGATTTTACTATAATTAGAAGATTTAGATGAAACAGAAACTGACCACTATTCACACTACACTGGGACTGTGTCCCCTTGAGTCCACCATGCTCCTATTCAGACATTTCTGTGACTCACACAGGGAAGGACTGGCCTCTGAATGCTGCTAATGGCTATCTGGTGGCTGCTGTCATCCCTGGGAAAAGCACAGAAGACAAAGAATGGAAATGTATTCTTCTGGGTTACATGTTCCAAACTGCCCACCTACTGCCTCCTTCAGCTTGCCTCTCCACAGTAATATGGCTTTTCCTTCAGTAAAACTGCTCAAGAATTTGCAAGCATATGCTCTGCTATCAAAGTCTAAGCACTCATGGAATAAAAACAAGAAAAGTGTTACTTACAAAAACTCCCTGTTGAGTAAAATACTGGTCTATTTCTCCATGCCTCACTGCTGTAAACTACCTTTTAAGTCTAAGATGAGATGGGATTTAGAACAGCTGTGAGGCAGCTCCGTCAAGGGCCTAGACCTGTCTGGGAAGCTGAGTTTCTGTTTCCCGTCTTCACAGTGGATTGAGTTTGAAAACAGAGGTTGGATTCTTGAGGAAATATACAAACACATCTGTGTGTTTGGTGTGATGTACAGTGCAGGGATCATGAGAAGATGAAGGCTGCCTAGCAGGCCCACTGGGGACTCCATTCTGTTTGCTCCATCATTTTCCTTGTTGTCAGCATTGCCTCTGAGGCTTTTGCAGCTTTGCCTTTTATGTTCTCTCCATAGCCTCATGACAGGATAAAGTAATAAAAAAAAAACCTATGCTTTCCTGAAAATAGACGTATTCTTCACTTTCAATATCACCTGGGAGTTTTTCAAATTTTCCTGTGGAAATTTACAGTGCCATAGACTAGTCGGCTCACATTCCTCAGCAAAATACAGCGGCCAGGTAATACCTGCATTTCCCTGTGGGACTTACAGCACTCAGTTGTAGCCTCATGCCTAGAGGAACAATGCAGTCAGCACAGACACAAGGGTCAGCAGCACAACACTCCATGAATGGCCTCTCTTTGAGACTCATAGGATTTTCTGAGGGTAATCAATACCCCACTCCTCAATTAAAAGAGCAGAAAGAGCAAACCCCACAAATGTTATAGTGACAAAAAGTCATAGCACTATGTCAACACAAGTCAAAGAAGCAAAAAAATAAGTCCAGTATTCAATTTTAATTTACAAAGTAGGGAATAGCTTGTATAAATGACTTGGATGCCTTAAAGAAGGGCTCTCTTTGAAATGAGTATCTACAATCAATATTTCCTGATTTGAACTATCGACTGAGATCCTAAAGGAAAGACTGAAACTGAAATAGCATGTATACACTATATAGTTTGTTCTTAATTCAAATATAACATTAAAAATTATAGAAATGAGGTAAAGAAGTAGTCAGACTGAAAAGGTGCTAAGAAAGGAAAGAACATATTTTACTATAGACAGCTAAACTTTTTGGTTTGGGATTTAAGACTTTTAAAACTAATATTTAGAAGCAAATGGTAAAGTGCATGTATTAACACCCTCATAACTCATAGACAGTCATCAAGTGGCTACCTGTAAACACAGGTGTGTCCACTCAGTCATGCTTACACACAGCTGTGCTTATACACAACCATGCATGCATATAGCCATACATCCAAACCAGCCATTCGTGCACACAACTGTACTCACACAGAGCTGTGTATGCACATAGAGTTTACTCTCCCACCATTGTCATTTATAAGGTATACCAGACTTATGTTCATTCTCTTGTCCTAATGTATATACTAGACCACTAAAAGAATATTAGAAGGGATCATGAAGACCTTGAGGCATGAATGAACAGCACACCAGTTCCTCTGGAAACCATTGAGTGAAAAGATATTCACTATACTTCGATTGTTAAAACAGTCAGACTGTTTAGTCCCTGGGCATAAAAAAATGGACAGCATTTGGATGTTGGAGTACAGCATAAGGAAGTAATCAGAAATCCAGCAAAGAATTATACATCAAGATGTTCACAGGAGCATTATTTAAATTTGCAGAGCATGCAAAAAATCTGGACTCAAACCAATAATGCAAAATAGGACCTGGTCATGCAAGATGGACTATTAAACAGACATCATGTTTTCAGAATATATTTAATTAAAAAATACATATAATATACTGCAAAGCTAAAATATGCATAGCTATATGAATGTTTTAAATCCATGTAAAATAATGTTACAGCCCAAATTAGCCAAAAGTAATAAAGAATCTTTTTCCACCACAGCTGAAGGAAGAAGGGAAGAGGCAGAGAAAAATAAAAATAGAGCATACAATTAAAATATGTAAATCTCAACACCAGATAGAAAAAAGCTAGCCTACAAGTTCAATAAAAATTAAAATCATACTGTTTTTGAAACCACCGTGCCTATAAAATATAATACATTCACACATGGTAGCATCTCAATTTAAATGGTGACAAAAATGAGTATAGACTGAATACAAAATAATGATGGCATTTTAAATGTTCAGCATCATCTAAAGTCACTAAAGAAACTTATGATGGAAAAGTACTTTTAGATAGGTTTTGGGGGGGGGATTGTGAAGAGTAGATAGAGGTCATCTGATGTAAACTCAATCCTATTTCTATCAAAGGTTTTAGACAGCCACCTACAGAGATCTGTGTGAAATTAATGTGCTGCCTTATGCAAAAAATTTTATATTCTTTCATCCATGTTACTTACGAGAACTCACTGTGAAGTTATTATAAAACAACACCTTCGCCTCCACTGATGATTTCCTTTCATTATTTGGTAAAGGATAATTTAAAAGTCAAAAGGAATCTCTAGGATTTGCTGTGGTTTGACTCGGAAATGTGTCCCCAGGTTAATGTCTGAGTCTATTCTGCCGTGGGTGACACTGTTTGGAAGCAGTTCAGGTTTCAGAAGACAGGGCCTGATTGAGAAAGTAAGTTAACCGGGTAGAGTTATAGCCCCATCCATGGTCTCTGAGCTTTCTTTACTCCCTAGTTCATGATAGAGGCATGTCAGCTCCATGTTCCCTCCACTATGGACAGAGCTGACTGTAGTACCTTCTGTCAGGTTTTTTGCAACAGAATGATTAATACAGGACTCTCACAGGAAATCCACAAAGTGACAGTCACAGCAATATAAGAGAGGAATACTCTGTCAGCTCTATGCTGACTGTACTGAGAACAGAGAAGGCCAAAGGTTTAGACAGAGTCACAGCCAGCACAGGCAAGAATAACCTTTTAAGGAGAAACTTGACAGAAAAACATATAAGCCAGAAGCACACAGTCCACAAGCCTCCTGGGAAGGAAGACATGGAGAAAGCCATGTACTAAGCCAAAAGTTTGAAGCTGAATGG